TATCTTGAAGTGATATTTGAAAGTGATTCCTCACTCACATTGACCTATTAGAGCAACAGGTTGATTAAAAAGCATTGGATAGTTAGTGGGTAATGAAGCCCCAGGGGGTGATTGTAAAATGTATTCCAATAAAGCAACAGGAAACAGAAAAACTGGATATGCTGAAAATCTTAAGTTTTATCTCCAAATTTTAGTTCTGAATGCAGTCCATACTAAAAAAAATATCTTCAAACAGAATATTTTAGAATTTCAAACAGAATGACTTAGATGACTTTGGCCATAATATGTCTAAACAAACTTAAAATGACTACTGCAGTGTCAACATAAAAGTCAAGGGTAAAACAACTCGTAGCAAGAGCATACTGCAGAAAGTCGTGTTGGGGGAGTGGGTGTGTGTGTGTTTGTGTGGTCAGATACAGTTTTCCTTCTAGTATAGTGTCATATGTTCTGCAGTTGATGGTGGTTGGTGATGGAAGGCCCCCACCTTAGAAATTTTCAAGAGGGATTACAAAACCTGGCTTTTCCGATACACTTTTGGAGAGTAGCCATATTACCATACACAGTTGCTCCCCCGCAATGGTTTTTGTCCCCAAAATATATTTCCCCACCTGTATGAAGGTCTAAACCATTCACTAGACAAAATGAAGCAAGTGTCTAAGGTGCTACATGATGCCAGACAGTCTATTACACATTTCATTATCTTGGAAGATCTGTTTTCCTCCATATAAAATAGTTTGTTTTATTCAATTCCAACTCCAGTTCAGGTGTCAACATAACTGATTTTTGCAGCTGAAGTGGGAGATATTTCTTCGCCTCAGGTAACAAAATGTCATAGACTGGGCTTGAAAAATATTACTCTATTAACCCATAGAGAAGCCCCAATTGTCTTCATAGTGTCAACAGGAACCACCAAGAATATGTAAAACCTGAATGGAAATTTGTTGTCCACCCAGTTGATAATCTTATTGCATAATTAATAGTACCACTGTCGTATGGGGTGCCACAGTCTGATTTTATTTTTAATGAGATGTTATATCTGAAATCATTAATAATATATGAGCTAGAAGAATATACACAAGGATCATGCATAAAGACAATGTTTGGATTTGGCTTGCAGGGGAAAAAAAAGAATGTGCTTTACTTTTGTGGCTAAGAATCCACTCCAGCTGTAACAACTTCCCCCTCTGCCCCCAAAATATTTATTCAGTTTTGACATTATTATATTATCTCTTGTTGTAAATATAATTAATCATTGCTCTCACCTCTGTAGGAAAAAAAAACTTGTCCCGAGAGACCTGATCTCTCTTGCTAAGAAAGGTAAGAACATGAACCAGTCTTAACTGCCTTGAGTTACCAGTTGTGGTCAAAATGAAATGTGAAGCTGGAATCTACAGAGGAGAAATTCAAGGTATATTTGGCAGATAAAACATGATAATATGAAATATTAATAGACTGCCATGGAGAAAGATACCGTATGAGCTACATTGTTTGCACTGTTTATGTTTCATTGAAAAATATGATGCGTACCTGCTGCCAAGGGGAGACTTATTTATTTATTTTCAAATAGCTTTGCTATCTCAACTCAAGGATGATACACATTTAATGCTGTACATTACCTGATAGAATCCCTCACAGTTTCAAAATCACGCTTTTTCCAGGGGAAAAGTCATCAGAAAAACCTTTAACAGTTTACATCAGATAAGGAAAACTAAATGGCTCTGCTTACAAAGGCTTGCAGCAAGTGCTGAAAACCAGAATTCAGAGAGTCTGTCCCTGCTCCTCTCCAACTTATTCACCCTTTGATACTGCTGACTCCCATGTCTAAGGTCAAAGAAAAGAGGAGCAGAAAAATGGAGGGAGTAATAGAAGTACTGAATTATCTTGCAGAGGCAGATGAGTGAACTGAAGCACAGAGGGAAATTAAAGAAAAAGAGGGGTGGCGGGAGTGAAATTACATGGTTGCTTCCTACTAAGTTCTCCCTAGAAGTTTTATCACTAAGAGTTTGACCTCTTTTACTCAGCTCAGTAACTGAATTCAATCCCAGTAGCTCCTACACATAATAGCCGGACTTCAGCTGTGAAAGTGTTTGGGGAGCAGAGCTGATATGAGCTGGCAACTCCAACAACATTCACCTCACTCCTGTCTAATGTGTAATGAACCCTTTTAGCAACTGAAGCATATCATACCACTATGAAGAGCAAGCACGTTCAGGCAATTTTATGTTGGACTCAGATGATCAACCATTTCAATCCAGAATTATGAATGCAAGGATATAATGAAAAAGAACCCACAAGTTCCTTTGAATACATTTTGAACATGAGAAGACGGAGGGAATGGTTAAGCAGAAGATGAAACAGAAATGGCCATGAAATTGAAGTTGACACTCCTGGTTATATTTCAGTACCTCTAGAGGGCACTGAATAAAAGAAAATAGAATGCCAGGAACTGAAGCATCCACAGCATACAAATTATAATGCAGTATTAATATAAGTGTACGATATCACAACCAAAATCTGCTTTGCATTTCTTTTGTGATTCTTTTTTTAACTGATTCACCCTATAATCCTTTAATCCTTAACACAACTGAAATGAAGCTGAACTATATGTAACTGTACCGGCTCATTCATCACATTATCCCTTGCCATGCCTTGCATCACCACGCATCTCCCCTATTGTCTACACTTTTAATGTGGATTCCTCCGGGAAGGAATTTGCTACTAATATATCACTGTAAAATGAGTTTGCTGGCTGAATTTATTTTTAAACAGTATATTAAGCTTTTAAAAAAATATTCAGTGATTGTCAGCAGTTATAATAATTACCATATTTACTCAAATCTTGTGCACAAATTGAAACAGCCCTGCCCTTTTTGCCTTGGAAGATGATTTCACTATGTGTTCAAAGAGTGGCTTGAGCTGATGGGAGATCTAGTTCTTTTGAGGCAATGTGCAACACAAACTAAAAAACACTGAGGCCAGAGAGACCAGCTACAGTTGTTCCCTTTACAAAAAGTAGTCAATTGATCTCAATGCTCTACCTATATTTACATCTTTGTTATGATTAATTTGCCATATTGTTGCCAGTTTATTCTCATTGTCTGGACTTAATTTCTTGTTTCTCTATTACTTTCCATATAATTCCCCTTGACTATATTCTTTGGATTTTTGTATATCCATATTCCTAAATATTTTAACTTCTTTAATCCTAATCTCAATCCTGAGATTTTCCTAATTTCCAATTGTTCTCTTGGTGGGGTATTAAGATACATTATCTCTAATTTGTTAATATTAACATATAATCCCGATAACTTCTTGAATTCCTCCAATTTCTTAATCAAATTTTGCATCATAGATAATGGTTGACTTGTAACAACAACAGCATCATCTGCAAAGAGATTTAACCTTATCTCTTCCTTCTCTATTCCTTCCTTCTCTATTTTATGATGTTATGCTTTATTTTGATATGTTTTTTCGGTTTTGTTTTGAGTTTATCTTATTCCATTATGTTTTTAACTCTATGCTCTCTGGGCTTGTCCCTTTGTAAGCCACCCCTAGTCCCTTCGGGGAGATGGAGGTGGGGTATAAAAATAAAGTTGTTGTTGTTGTAGTTGTTAGTATTAGTATTATAACAACCAACTCTCATTTACAAAATTATGAGGAGTCTCAAGCATGCTTTCAATAAACTTAAATATAATATTCGAAATGATCAAACTGTACTTTCACAAGTGACAGTATGATTTGGGAAGCAGAATGGCAGTGGTGCACAGGAAATCCTCTCTTTTTCCTCTGGGCCCTTCCATACAGCCATATAATTCAGAACATCAAGGCAGATAATCTACAATATCTGCTTTGAACTGGATTATCTGAGTCCATACTCATGTTATAAGATACAGTTCAATGTAGATTTTATATAACTGTGTGGAAAGAGCCTTGATCTCTCTTCCCACTCTAACACATGTTTTAAGATCCAGTTGGGCACTCACATATCCATCAAATTATCTCAAGTCTAGAGATGACCAAATGTAAAAAAAAAAGAGGTTATCACAGACAAAAAGACTTGTATCTAATTTCCCGACTCACTTTTTTTTTAAAAAAAAAAAAAGGTCTTGGGTTATCTGAGTTATTTATTTGTTGTGTAAAACAACTTTCATTTATTTTATGTCAGTGAAACAGGAAACAAGAACATCTCTGAGTACTCCTTTCCAAAATGACCATTCGCATTAAATTCCTGCAAGGGAGGGAGACATAGCACAGAGCAAGACAAATATTGAAATGCTTTTGAAATGCTTATATAAGGATTCCCAAGACTACAACCAGTACAGTAAAAATGTGAGGGTCAGTAGGGTTAAAATATAATTGAGTAATGTCATATGGGGCCATTTCACACATTGTCATCCTAATTAAAATCCATGTATAAAACTAACATTTGAATGTGCCATATATATTTGCAGACACGGTTATGCTCGTAAGATAGTATTGAAAGTCACATTTTCTTCCATATACATTTTGAAATGGTCCAATATAAGGTAAAGGTTTTGTGGAAAAAAGATTTTAAAGTCTGGTATAATGATGTAGTATATTCAAGTTGGCAATATATGTCACCATCACATTAAACATATTAACATATAACGGTGACATCAATTACATTTCAGACATAGTGAATGCATTTAGCACTTTAAAGAGGCAAATACTGTTCACTTAAGTAAACAACTGATCATTTACTTGCTTACAAGGCAGACTTATGCATATTTAAATAAGTCTCATTATGTTCAAAGGGCTTTATTCTCAGATAAAAGTGCATAAGATACAGCCTGTGAGCATCACTTTTAATTGGTACATGTTTTTGTGATATACTCATATTCATTGTTGACCCTCTTGCCTTACTTAAAGAAAACCTTAGTCAACATCCGTATTTAATTTTAAAAAGCACAATACAATACAGTATTATTAAAAGTAATATCATTTTGTGTTCTGTGTATTTATCAAGAAAGGAAACATACCTGAACTCTTTAGGGTTACTTCATTCCCTGTAAGAGTCTGCAGTTTCATTGTCATGAGAGTCATTCTGTAAGAAATTATTAAAGAAAATAAAGGAAATGTTGAACAAAATTACAATTACTCTTATTCAGTACATATTTTTGTGTACCAGTGTATGTGTATGCAAAGAATTCAAGCAATACTTCTGAAATATTTTTAGGTTGGATCCAGCTGTAATTTATGAAAAATACTGGTTTGGAACTGCAATATGACTACACAGAGTTGCTGTAGACTGACTTGAAGGTGATACAGAGATCTCACAGCTCAGCCAGTTTCAGCATAGCTAAGAATGGGGCCAGATTTCATCCTAGCACCCCAATCCCACCCCACCAGACAGAAAATAGCAGTTATCTTGATCTGCCAGCTCTCTACATCCTGGTTTGCTCCCATGTGACTAAGTAGCTTATGAGAAATGAACTCCCTCCCTTCTCTCAAGCTCAGTCACATGGAGAGGAACCAGGAAATAAAGCATCCCAGAACTCTTTCTTTTAAGGGCTGCATTGGAGTGCTAGGGAGCAGGGGAGTTCACAATTGCTGTGGGGACATTATCCTGGATCCTGCATAGGGATCCAGGATGGCTGTCCCCACTCCCCCCAACACAGAGAATATTCTAGATCAGGGGTCCTCAAACTAAGGCCCGGGGGCCGGATGCGGCCCACCAAGGTCATTTACCCGGCCCTCGCTCAGGGTCAACCTAAGTCTGAAATGACTTGAAAGCACACAACAACAACAACAACAACAATCCCATCTCATCAGCCAAAAGCAGGCCCATACTTCCCATTGAAATACTAATAAGTTTATATTTGTTTAAATTGTTCTTCATTTTAATTATTGTATTGTTTCTAAGTGGTTTTGCATTACAAATAAGATATGTGTCATGTGCATAGGAATTCATTCATGTTTTTTTCACATTATAATCCGGCCCTTGAACAGTTTGAGGGACTGTGACCTGGCCCTCTGTTTAAAAAGTTTGAGGACCCTTGTTCTAGATCCTGGAGCAAGCCACATATAAGCAATTTACTCGATGTGGTATCTCTATTTACCATGGTCCCGGTAGCAGACACCATGGCACTCATCAACCAGAGGTTCCCAGAAGACATCATGGCTCTGTTTCACCATTGCCTCAGTTACTTTCAGTGGGACAATGAATTCTACGAACAGAAAGATGGATTAGCTATGGGGAGCTCTCTCAGCTCGGTCATAGCTAACTTCTACATGGAACACTTTGAAAAACAAGCCCTGGAGACAGCAACCAAAAAGCCCACGATATGGTTCAGATATGTGGATGACACCTTCACCATTTGGAGTCATGGAGAAGAAGAACTCAACAGGTTCCTGGACCATCTTAACAGCATCCACCCAAAAATCCAATTCACAATGGAAAAAGAAAATGAAGGAAGACTGCCTTTTCTAGATGTCCTAGTCATCCGCAAACCAGATCAACAATTGGGTCACACCGTCTACAGAAAACCCACACACACAGATAGATATCTACATAAAAACTCCAACCATCACCAAGTCAAAAAAGAAGCACCATTAAAGCCTTGGCAGACCGTGCAAAAAGAATCTGCGAACCCCACCTCCTCCAAGATGAACTGAACCACCTCAACTGGGCTCTCCAGGCCAATGGATACTCCACCTCAGACATCAGAAGAGCTGCAAGACCAAGAACAAGCCATGAGAGTAAAGATGAAGATCCACCCAGAGGAAAAGTGTTCCTGCCATACATCAAGGGAACCACTGACCGCATAGGGAAGCTGATGAGGAAACATAACATACAAACAATCTACAAACCCACCAAGAAAATCCAACAAATGCTACGTTCAGAAAAGGACAAGAGGGATCCTCTCACCTCTGCAGGAGTCTACCGTATACCATGCAGCTGTGGACAAGTCTACATAGGGACCACCAAACGCAGCGCCCAAACAAGAATCCAGGAACATGAAAGGCACTGCAGGCTACTCCAACCAGAGAAATCAGCCATAGCAGAGCACCTGATGAACCAACCTGGACACAGCGTTATTTGAGAACACAGAAAATGCTGGACCACTCTCACAACCACCATGTCAGACTACACAGAGAAGCCATGAAATCCACAAGCATGTGGACAATTTCAACAGAAAGGAAGAGACCATGAAAATGAACAAAATCTGGCTACCAGTATTAAAAAACTCTAAAATTACAACAACAAAACAGCAGAGAGGAAACAACCAGGCACATCTTAACACCTCTCAACAGAACATTTTCCCAGGCTCAGCCAGGTCTTCAAATGCTAATGAAGGTGGTCAGCTGAAACATTCACACCTAGCTTCAGCAGAGAGCTCTTTGCCCCACCCCAGTCATTCCACAGATATATAAACCCATTTTCCTATTTCCAACAGACCTCACTACCTCTGAGGATGCTTGCCATAGATGCAGGCGAAACGTCAGGAGAAATGCCTCTAGAACATGGCCCTATAGCCCAAAAAAACCCTACAAGAACCTAATTTACTCTTGGTTAACTCGCATCAGGCTGATAGATGTAAACAGGTTGATGTGACTCTACACTACATTGTATGGCAGTGTAGAAACTGCCCTATCACAAGCTTTTAAGGCCCATCTTTTGCGACATGTCCCATTTAAATACAACCAAAATGTCCATGGAAATTGATTTATTTTTCAGTTTTTTGCAGTCTGATACTAATAATCACCATGGTCTTTAGACACATACTTTATCATTCATTACCTATGAACCAAATGCCCATTGTATGGCAGTGTAGAACTGCCCTTACTCAAGCTTTTAAGGCCCATCTTTTGGGGCACGTCCCATTAAATACAAGTAAAATGTCCATGGAAATTGATTTTTTCCAGTTTTTTTGCAGTCTGACACTAATAATCACCATGGTCTTTAGACACATACTTTCTCATTCACTACTTATGAATCATATGCCCATTATTGCTGGATTTTAAAGTTTACAATGGTATGCACATATATTTATTTGGGAGTAGGTTCTTGCACTTATGAGTAAATGTAGGAAGCTTCCCAAAGCTCCTGGTGGTTACCTTTCCTGATAATACATGCATTTCAAAGTCTGCAAACTTGATTAGTTTCTATGGTGAGGATGCCAGTTGTTTTCAAGGCCGAATCCAAACCTGAGGGAAGATCACCAATCTTTCTAGAGCCTGTATATCTGGATTTGATTAAAATTGGAGGGTATATATGGGATTGGGAGATAGAGAAAGAAGGAAGACATGAACTAGCAGAGCTTCATGTCCCCATTAATGTTTATGGAAGAATACTGCTGACTTCTCTCCATCTGAATAAACATGCACTGAATGTGGCAACAATCACCAAAATTACTGGTAGGTTACATACCTGTGACCATCTTTCTTCGAGTGGTGCTCTGCGAATTCACACTTGTGGAGAGACTGCGCCTGTGCGGGCTCCAACGGAAACTTCTACATTTTAAAACTTTTCAAGTTTTGGCGGTAACCCCGCCCAGCCCCGGCAAGGAATAAAAGGGCGCCCCGCGCACACCGATCCAATTCCTACGCCGCTACGGTAGCGAGAAATTGGAGGTTTGTCTAGTGGGGAGGCTGGGCGGGTTAGTGTGAATTCGCAGAGCACCACTCGATGAAAGATGGTCAAAGGTATGTAACCTACCATTTTTCTTCGTGGTC